TCAATCATCTGGTGTCACCCTTGACTATTCCCTCTCTTTCAACTTGCAGCCAAACACCACTGCTACTGGCTCTGCCTTCTAAACAGCTCTGTCATACATCCACTATTTTTCTCCCCACTGCCACAATCCTACTCCATGCTACCACTGCTTCTCTCAGATGGCTTGCAATATGCATGCACATGTGTGTTCATTGCAGCACTGTTCACAATAGCGAAGACTTGGAATCAACCCAGATGCCCATCGGTGATAGACTAGACAAGGAAAATGTGGCATATATACACCACGGAATACTATGCAGCCAAAAAAATGATGAGTTTGTGTCCTTTGTAGGGACATGGATGAATCCAGAAGCCACCATTCTCAGAAAACTGACACAAGAACAGAAAATCAAACATGGCATGTTCTCACTCATAGGTGGATGTTGAACAATGAGAACACATGGACACAGGAGGGGAGCATCACACACTGTGGTCTGTGGGGAGAACTAGGGCAAGGACAGAGAGGAGTAGGGAGTCGAGGAGGGATAACATGGAGAGAAATGCTAGATACAGGTGGCGGGGATGGAGGCAGCAGTTTCCTGCCGTGTATGTACCTATGCAACAATCCTGCATGTTCTGCACATGTACCCCAGAACCTAAAGTGCAATTATATGTGTGTGTGTGTATTCACACACATACACACACACACACACACACACACACACACACATACATATATATAGCAACGACCTCATAATTAGACTCCTAGTGACCATTTTAACCCACTCCCTTCTGTAAAGGAGACCATGCAGACGTAATTTTTTTTCAAAACTCAATTCAGATTATTTATTTCCTGATCTCTACATCAGTTAGCAGTGTGGGACAGTTAGTAGTCCTGCCCCGCCAAACTGTCTACCTTCGTCAAATGCTCTTCTTTTTGTTCACTTGCTGTAGCCATCAACTCTTCCTTCAGTTTCGTGAACATGCTGTGTTGTCTTGCAGAGACATAGATGCCCTTATTTACTACTTAACTACTGGCCATCCTTTTTATGTTAAAGGTGACGCTCCTGATAGGACTTTTCTGAACTCCCTTTGTTTACTCCCTATAGGATCCTGTATTTTACCACTTGGTAGAAATTATAATTATCTGTTAAAGGCCAGTTCTGTTAAGAGAGGACCATTTCTATCCCCAGAAATTAAAACCAGATCAGGCATGTAGCAGTAGCTCAATACATTTATGAAATGAATGTAATAATAAATAAATAAATAAATATATATATATATAGGGAATGAGAAATATGGCTTGAGTTTTGGAAAATACAGTGGAGCATCCTGCATTTAAATATAAGGCCACCTATACTATATATTTCTTTAGTTAAATGGATGCCAAAATAAGAATTTCCATTTTAGGACAAAACAATGACTACAAGTCAGTAAGGCTAGTGGAATGAGTTTATCTAGTTGTCAGGAGACCTGGGTCCCATTGCCAATAACTAGCTATGATCTTGGTTAAGTCACAAAACTTTTTTTAATGCTTGGTACCGGAAATTTAAAATGGAAATAAAATGGTTATCTTTTTAGTATTTGAAATAAACTTACAGTTATTTATAACAGTACTTTATTTATTTATTTATTTAGACGGAGTCTTGCTCTGTTGCCCAGGCTGGAGTGCAATGGCACGATCTTGGCTCACTGTAACTTCTGCCTCCTCGGTTCAAGCAATTATCCCTGCCTCAGCCTCCTGAGTAGCTAGGATCACAGGCTACTGCTATTACACCTGACTAATTTTGTAGTTTTAGTAGAGATGGGGTTTTACCATGTTGAGCAGGCTGGTCTCAAACTCCTGACCTCAGGTGATCCACCTGCCTTGGCCTCCCAAAGTGCTGGGATTACAGGCCTGAGCCACCGTGCCTGGCGTATAACAGTACTTTAAAAACGTGGAGGTACTGCATTAATAAAATTATCCTGGGGGCATGCTTATCTCAACTAATCATGTCTCTTTGTACTCCCTGTTGTAAAGGAAAGTAAAGCTGCCAGACTTAGGTCAGTATTTTCCAAAGTATGGCTTATGGATCACTTCTTCATGGGTATGTGGAAGATAACTTGTTAAAAATTAAGATTTTTGGAATTTCTCTGAAAGCTTTCTGATTTAGAATTGCTGGCAGTGGGTCAAAGTGAAATCTGTCTATCTATCTATCTATCTATCTATCTATCTATCTATCTATCTATCTATGAATCATCTATCTGTCCATCCCATCTCTCTATCTCTTTCTCCCCTATCTATGTATTAATTTCAGTTCTCTCTATCTATATATCTATTTACCCATCCATTTCATGTATCTCTGTCTTCTGTCCACCCATTTCATCTCCTTATCTATATATTGTCTATCACTCTATGTCTCTATCTATCTAATGGAATCCATCTTCTATGGAAAAGCTCCCAAGGTAACACTTAGGCATACTAAAATTGGAGAATGGCTGTTTGCTCTCCCTTGTGCTATTCTCCTTGCTTGGGAATTACTATGTTTGTCCCCAAGGGATCTAGAGGCATCCCAGTTTTGAAGTCTCATCTGATGTCCCTCACTTCATCTTGAAGCTTTTCCAGATTACTCTGGGAGTTCACATTGAACTTCCTTTTGGTGATATTTTAAGGCACTTAAAATTCACCAAATTCTGCATTTAAATTATATATTTTGAGAACTAATTGTTCCTGTGCTAGTCTTACTTCTCCAAATAGACTCCAAGTTCCCTAACGTGTGGAAATCTGGTTTATCATATTTCCATATGCCCTCTGTATCTGACACATGTCGAGTTCAGATTAGGGGCACAAAAGCTCGGGGAAGAAGTCTGGAAGGGATAGACATTTAGGAAGCTGGAGGATCTGCAAAACCTTCTTCTCCATTCTCCTCTCTGATGTGGTTCTTGTTTTTTTTCTTTACCAGTTTTTATTTCATCAAATATCCTCCCTTAGATTAAAACTCTCTGCTTAGCTCTTTTAAACCTATGAAACACTAAACAGCAGATGAATTAGCTCCTAGTAGAGGGTCTGCAAATGCAGATGTCCAGCATGTAGGCAGATTTCCAGGAGTTTTAGCAGAAAATACCACATATTGGGCATTAGCTTTGCAGGCTGATTATAAAAGTCATTTTCTGGTTGGAATTGTGTACTCTCACTCTCAGGTGAACTGTGGTCATTGTTGACAGGCTGCTCCATGTACAACAGTCACAGCACGGTGCCTTTGTTCATCCATCATGATTGATTTTTGGGGGGAGATGCTTTGATTTTTTTTTTAACCGATAGAAAAGGTAAAATGGGATTTGTGCTAGTTTGAAAAACAGACAGAGGAATACATTCAAAAATTTATTCAAAGAGATTATAATAAGACAAAAAGTTTTCTCTTTTCTTGTTGTAGATTCTAAACTCCTTTGGGAGGCCAAGGTGGTGGATCACCTGAGGTCAGGAGTTCAAGACCAGTCTGACCAACATGGTAAAACCCTATCTCTACTAAAAATACAAAAAAATTAGCCAGGCATGGTGGCTGGCACCTATAGTCTCAGTTACTTGGGAGGCTGAGGCAGGAGAATTTTGCTTGAACCCAGGAGATGGAGGTTGCAATGAGCCAAGTTTGAGCCATTGCACTCCAGCCTGGGCAACAAGAGAGAAACTCCATCTCAAAACCAACCAACCAACCAACCAAACAAACAAACAAAAAGAGATTCTAAACTCACCAAGGCATTATCTTTAGGTCTCCTCTCATAAGACAGACGAATGCCCAGGGAACCTATACAGTGCACGAGTATGTGTGTGTGTGAATGTGTTTGTGTTGAGAGTGCTTTTGGGGAACAGGGACTAGAATGGGGAAATCTGGGAATAGTTGAATCCAACTACCATGGCCATTGGTTATTTCACTGTTAAGAAACCTTCTACCTGTTTTAAGATGATTATTAAAATGTTAATTAGAACTTTTCTGTGCACCTGAGGGCCAGGTCACTGAGTTTGCAGCTCAAGTATGTAGTTCCCATATAAATTACTTTAATTAAAAATAATAATGATAGTGCTATTTTCAATTTCTGAAATCTTGACTGTGTTTTTATTTCTCTGATCTCATTTTGATTTTAATCCTCTTAACAAGCTCATGAAGTACGTAGGAAAGAATTACTATCTTCAGGAACTGCAATCCATTCTATTTGTAAAATTTTTACCCTTGGCAATCTATTTCATTGTGTATCATGAATTCCATCTCCTCTTTTCTATGCCTGCCTAGAAATATCAAGAATACATATAAACTGCACATTTTAAAAATAACACTGTGTTATATTTGAAAGTGTAGCTGACATAAAAGAATATATTTTATGCGCATCAAGCATAGCAGACTGGGGGGCAAATGATGTGCTCTGGGCTTGCCTGTCATTCATCTATGAAACTCAAAGGGCCTCTTAAGATCTGACCCAAGGTGACATTTTGTCCCTGTCCACATAAAGGGATGCTAAAATTGCTTTTGCTAAAGAATAAAAGAATAATTTCACATAGGGCACATAATTATATCAATATGGTGACTGTGGACTGTATATGGGCATTGGGAATTCCTAGGGAGCCCACATTTACAAACCCACTCATCACCACCCAGGAAACATCAGGGTGTGGATTGCTTTAAGGAGCAGTCTTTCTGTTATTGTAGTATACTCTGAATGTGCCATGTTGGGTTCTTGCCCAAATACCCTCTGGACATCTGGTCATGGATACATCTCCCCTGCCCTTGGATACCATGTGCTCTGCTTCCTGGATGCAGGAAGTAGGTCATCTCTGAGTACCTGCTGTGTCTCTGGCACTGCCAGTTAGGGTTCTGGGTGCTAGTGCTGTGATGAAAGAGGAATGTAGACGTCATGGGTGGGGCCTGTATCAGTGGCTGCTTAGTCAACTTGTCAATTCCTGATGCCTAAGCAACAGTCCCTTGCTGGCCCAGCTAGAGGTCTAAGAGTCCTTCATGTGTTTCCTTTAATTCCAAATCCTTCTCTTTATCATTTTCCTGGGCTGTACAGAGACTCATTACCCTTTATCCTCTAAAGTCCTTTCTGTTTACTTAGTTCCTCAACCGCCTCGTCTCACTGTCTTCTTGTAGCATAACTCTGTGGCTCTTCCTCTTTTAATTGAGAAAGAAGCAAGACCTGGAGAGAATAACATGCTGAATTGCACAGCCAGGACTTGACACAGGTCTGTCTAAGGCCACAATGAACGCTTTTAACCAGAGCCCCAAAGATTGTTTATCTTTTAAGAAGATTGCCTCTTATATATGGCAAGGGAGAGAGAGTAATATATAAGGGAGGAACATGATGGAGAGACAGAAGGTTATTATTTTTGTTAGTTTATTATTATTTTTGGTTGGAAGGAATTCAAATATGTTTTTGTTCCAGAGAGTGGCCTGGGAACAGAGGCCTACTGTCAACTACAAAGCCGAGTGAGGAGTCTGGAATGACCTAATAATCCTTGTCTTGGGAAGCTAGACATAAACTCAATCACCAACCTATGAATGGCTTGTTTTGCTTGTTGGTGGGCAGGGGACAGTGTGCTGAGTTGCAGAGCGAGTGGTAGAGTTAAAGTAAATTCATTTTAATTCTATTCACATGTTGTCTAACTAGTGTCTATAAGATTAGTAGGAATAACCCTAAGAAATATAGTGTTTAATTTTAAGGAGTGTCAACAATATGGTCTTCAAGAAGAAGATACCAAATGAACCCAGGACTATGCTCAGCTAGGACTCAGGTTTTTGTCCCTGGAGGGGTTAGGTGGCACCTTTTACTCCAGTTTCTATTTGCCTGAGTTTTAATCTTGTTTTCGCTAAAATAAATAGAAGGACAGGTTGGGGCTTCAGTAGTGGGATGGCAGCTATATTTTTATTAGGTTTTATTAAAATTGGCAAGTAAATTTCAATAGCTCTAAGTTCCTACCTGCTTGATGGCAGCACCAAAGGGAGCCCCGCAAAGCCTCCTCTGCTATCCCGGGCATTGCAGGGTGGCCATGCAGGACAGCAAGGAGGAAATCTGCTCCTGGACTATGATTTCATCCTCACCTGCTGTCCACTTCCTGTACTGAAGAAGGGATCTTGATGAGGCATTGCTCCACGGCTTTCGGACCCTCTGAGAGAACAGGACTGCCACATACTACCACAAGCCTGATGGGTCAAAATGACAGAAGAGCATTCTTTCCTTTCATGGTTCTGGTGTCTTCAGGGCTGCACTTTCTCTGGGCTCTAAGGGAGAATCTTTTCTTGCCTCCTCCAGTTTCTGATGGCTCCTGGTGTTTCTTGCTTGTGGTGGCATCCCTCCAATCTCTGTCTTCATCTTCATATGGTCTTCCCCCTTCCTGTGTCTCAAATCTCTTTCTCCTTTCTCTTGTGAGGACACCAGGCATTGGATTTAGGGTGCAACCAAAATCCCGGATTATCTCATTCTAAGATTCTTAACGATATCTGTGACGACCTACGAAAGACCTCTTTTCATGTGGGCACATTCACGTGTACCAGAGGTTAGGAATTAGACATATCTTTAAACATTATTAATTTTTAATTTTTGTGTGCAGATAGTATGTGCATATATTTATGGGGTACATGATATTTTGATAACAGGTATGCAATGTGTAATAATCCCATCTGGGTAAATAGGGTATCCATTGCCTGAAGCATTTGTCCTTTCTTTGTGTTACAGACAATCCAAGTATACGTAGTTATTTTCAAATGTACAGTAAATGTGTTGACTGTAGTTACCCTGTGGTACTATCAAACACTAGATGGTATTTGTTCTATCTAATTATATTTTTATACCCATTAACCACCCCCACTCCTTACCCCAACTACCCTTGCCAGTCTCTGGTAACTATCGTTCTACTCTCCATCTCTATGAGCTCAATTGTTTTAATTTTTAGCTCCCACAAATAAGTGAGAACATTTAAAGTTTGTCTTTCTACTCCTGGCTTATTTCACTTAACATAATGACCTCCAGTTCCGTGTATGTTGTTACAAATAATAGGATCTCATTTTTTATGGCTGAATAGTACTCCATTTGGTCTATATACTACATTTTCTTTATCCATTCATCTGCTGATGACCAGTTACATTGCTTTGGATATGTCTTTTGAGAAGACATGATTCATCCTATTGTAGGGACAAAGGCAACTGGAGAAAAAAGAAAAAAATAATAAATAAGGGTATGCAAGGGGTGGGGGCACTTATGTCCTAATCCCTTTCTAGAGCCAGTTCTCAACCCTAATAAAGGGGTAGGTTAAGTCAGAAGCTTAAGGACTTGTGAATCCAGGCATGAGCAGAGCAACTTCAGGAGTTAAGTGGAAAAGGTGGCTAAGACCATGATCCTAGTGTTATGAAGACAGCTTGGGACCTTGGGGATGGCTTCCAAGTGAGAAATGTGGTACCCAGAGTTGCAATGGAAAGATCCATGACCCCTTTTCTCTCAGAGGGTCCAAAAGCTGTGGAGCGATACCTCATCAAGACACCTTCTTCAGTACAGGAAGTGGACAGCAGGTGAGACTGAAATCCAAGTCCAGAAGCAGATTTCTTCCTTGCTGTCCTTCACGGCCACCCTGAAATGCTTGGAATAGCAGAGGAGGCTCTGAGGGGCTCCCTTTGGTGCTGCCATCAAGCAGGTGGGAACTTAGAGCTATTGAAATTGAGATACTAATTTTAATAAAACCACATCTGTTCTCTTACACTGCAGAAGCCTGGGAAGGTCTGCTTGGAAAGATACAAGATTAGAAGCACATCTGCATAATGTGTGCAGAAGCGCGTGTTGAGTTGCTGCTGGTTGTGAGCTTGAAGTTTCATTTTGCCTCATTTGGAAAATCAGGAGCAAACAGCCTCTGAAGCCTGTGGTGAGAGGTGGTCTAAATATGAACGTCAGGAGTCCTGGGCGAATGGATGGTGGGGGAATTTGAGGGATTGACTGAAGGAAGAGAAAAAATAGTAAAAATAAAAGTAGAAAATAATTTTAGAAATAGTAATATTCCATGGTCTTTTCTAATGTACTACTGAGCAAAAATTTCTGCAAACCAACATGCTAATGAATTGACTGGGGACATAGGGAGCACACTGCGAAGGAAACACTAAGGTCTGTGTTTCTTGGGCTGGTACCAATCAGGAAAAAATGAAGAAAGAGCTGTAGTGTCTGCCTAACCAGCTTGGTCTGTGGGGGGTCTCTTCTCAAGGGCTGCCATGAATTGGCAATGACTGAGGGAAAACCTTTCTGAACGGGGGACACATTCCCCCACAGGCGCTCAGTGCTCTCCCCAAAAGCTGGCCTCCTCCAGCCCCACCATATCTGCACCCTTGGTGTATTCTTTGTTCCTTTTTAAGCAGGAAAGAGACACGTAAATGATTGGCTTGTTTACTTGAAAAAAACAGGAATATCCCTTGTGGCGGCATTCTCTCTCTCTCTCTCTCTCTCTCTCTCTCTCTCTCTCTCTCTCTCTCTCTCTCTCTCTCTCTCTCTCTCTCTCTTTTAATGCTTTCACTTTTTAGAAGAGATAAACAAAGGGTCCGTGGGCCCAGAGACAGGATGGTAGTGGGGTTCAGAAAAGCGTTTTCTCATGGGGAGCTGTGAAATTGGCTTGGTCGCTTGTCAATGACTTCCCGTTCATACTCGAGACAAAAAACTCGGCATACACCCATGGCTGATGTGGGGAGCCACGGGGACCCTGTAGAGATTCTGGCACAGGGTTACTGTCTCTGCTTCCCTCCGGTGGCAGTTGGGAATTCAGGAATTGCTTCTTAAATGATGGAGGATGTTTTTTAAGGTTCCAGAAAATGTCCCTGCGAATAAATGAGCCCATTTACCGCGGGCCCTGCAGGGGGCAGCAGAGAGCAGGGCGCAGGCCAGGCTGCAGGGGCAGCTCTGCGCCATGGCAACGCTTATCCCTCCTCCAGATTGTGGGAGCCTGGACGCTCTTCAAAGAAAACAATGAAGAACAGAGAATAGGGGTCACTATAGCAGACTAGGGAAGTTTGGATAGACCCGTGACCCCTCTGTCCAAACTTTTTAGCAGCCTCTGCTGTTTTCTGGAAGCTCTGAGAAGGTGGTTCCTACAGTTCACATCACCCAACACATTATCACAATAATTTATAGCCGGGATACTCCTCCATCTGACTGTGCTGCCTTAGTCCTCAGGTTTATGCCCCAGCCCCAAACACAATTCCAGGCACAAAAGAAGTGCTCAGTAAATACCTGTGAAATGAAAAAGTGGGCGGACAAATGGGCAGCCCATTTTAGGTTCTATACTCTCTCTCCATCATTCACGATCAGAAGTTCTTGCAAATATCCAGGATGTGGCATGGTTAAGTAGGATGGAAGGAATAAAAATGACCAACCCAGATATCGTGAGGAAGAGTGGAGTCAGACCTGAGTATTTTAGTGCCCTTTCACAGCAAGGGAGCTGGGCAGAGGTTATCATATTCTGGCTCTTAATGTACTACCAAGCCAAGAAGAGTTTAATGGGGCAAATGGGGAGAGGTTGCAGTAATAATAATTCATATAATTGGTAAAATTCCATTTTACATAGGAGACACATGATACATCCTTGTAATAAAGGGTCAGCCACAAAGCCACCAGTCCCTTCTTTCCTTATGGAGAGGAACGGAAGATGCTGTCATGGTGAATGGAATGAGATTGACCCATTATAGATTTTACCATATGAAGAGAGATCACAGGCAAAGATGATGAAAGACTCTTGCAAGAAGCCATCAGGCGTCTATTGAGTTCTCTTCTCAGGTCACTGTATGTAGACTGACAGTCATGCTGAAGAGAATGGGAGGAGGCTGCTGAAAATGTTCTGTGTCCAGGATAACCTTTGCTTGGCGTCCTATCTTTGCTAAATTATTCATTTTTAATTTTCATTTTATTATCAGTACTTCTCCTGTGAAGACAAGTTCTTTGGTTCTTCATTATGCATAAAAAGATGTGGCTGTCAGTTTTAAAGTTTTCTAATTTCCCTTTCTTTCTTGGAAAATGTCCTATTGACACAGAAATATTTTCGGTCACACTGGTCGTTTGTTGCCTCCCCCACCCCGTTGGGATGTGTCTGCCTCATTAGCTTCACATTTCTTTTGAGGACTCAGCTGGAGATTATCTTCTCCTTCCTCGCCTAGCACCAGTTCATTTTTCCTGATGACTGTTATTATTTGTTTAACTTACAGTCCTATTTTTAGGTACATTTTGCAAGGAAGATCCTATACTAGATAAAAACATGTAACGCTATATTCAAAAGTCACAGATAAATAACTCTTTAGGTGATGGGTGAAACTGGAGATGCTCTTGACTTAATGTTCTCAGAATAGAAAAATAAATGGGAATGTCACACCATGCATTTTTATTAAGCAAATGATGAAAGCAAAATTGAACATAACGTCCTTAATAGTATTTCCAACAACGCCGAAAAGCAGAAACGCGGGCATTACCCAAGCTATTGATGTATCTTGCCTTTAGGCTCTGTTCATTAGTCATTTGTAATATCTATTTTTATAGATCTTTTATTTTATTTTGATTTGTAATTCAACAACCAGACCACTGAAGATTCTGTTCTTCAGAACACCAGCTGGGTTTCCTTTCCATTAAAAGGGCATAGAGTTCTGGGAGATAATATATCCAGCATGAAACTGTTCTTTCATTCTTTGTGGAAATGATCTAAATTTGAAAGTAATTTTTTTTTTTTAATTTGAGATGGAGTCTCAGTCTGTCATTAGGCTGGAGTGCAGTGTCCTCCACCTCCTGGGTTCAAGTGATTCTCCTGCCTCAGCCTCCCGAGTAGGTGGGACTACAGGTGCATGTCACCACACCCAGCTAATTTTTGTATTTTTAGTAGAGATGGGGTTTCACCATATTGGCCAGATGGTCTGGATCTCCTGACCTCATGATTTGCCCACCTCGGGCTCCCAAAGTGCTGGGATTACAGGCGTGAGCCACCGTGCCTGGCCGTAAGTAAATTTTTTAAAGTAGCAATCTGCTGTAGCAGGGGCAATGGCTCATCATCACTTACTGAAGATTAGGAGTAGGAGAAGTGTAAGGTGTCCTTTTCTGAAGAGACTGGAAGATGATAAACCTTTCCAAAGGGGTTCTGTCCCTTTCATGTTCAAGGGAAGAAGGCAGTTTTGTTCAGTGGGTAAGAAACATAAAGCATCATAATGGTGACCACTGCGGTGGCTCATGCCTGTAATCCCAGCATTTTGGGAGGCCAAGGCACGTGGATTACCTGATGTTGGGAGTTCAGAACCAGCTTGGCCAACATGGTGAAAGGCTGTCTCTGCTAAAAATAAAAAATTAGCCAGGTGTGGTGGTGCACACCTGTAGTCCCAGCTACTAGGGAGGCTGAGCAGGGGAATCACTTGAAACTGGGAGGTGGAGGTTGCAGTGAGCCAAGATCCTGCCACTGCACTCCAGCCTGGGTGACAGAGTGAGACTCTGCCTCAAAAAAAAAAAAAATCATAATGGTGCCACTTGCAGGTCCTAGGTATGTCTCACACTGCCTTGATGGGACGTTTTCTGCAATTATTTCTCACTTTCTGCTTCTCAAAAAAGAAATGGAGACGTGAAGAGACTGAGAACTATTTTTCTCTATAATTGGTAGGGCTGTCCTCTTCAGTGGCAAGTCAACACTGACAATATTTTATGTGTGGCACGGAATTATGGAACCAGAGAATAAAATGATTAATATATAGCTTAAAGGCAGAATAACCCTTCAATCATCCCAGGCAAAAACAACTGCATCTCACATTCAAAGACTGACAAAAAATAAACTCCACAGTGGGGTGCCTGGGGAAGAAGAAATATCATTTTCAGATATATAGAAAGAGAATTGCCTTTTAAGGGTGGAAGTTACTGGTAATTTAAGTTCCTGTAGAAAATAACCTACAAATCTTTCAAAGTTGAATGTCTTCTTTGGAGGGGTTGCTTAAGCTCTGTAAATGGAAGACTTGTAGTCATCTGCGATTCTTAAGAGAAAAACTTGACATTTCCATCTGCCACCATCCAGATCCTGCTGTTTGCCTGTGTAAATTGAGTATTTTTTTAGCTGGTCTGTGTTGTAAAGGGGACTTTTAGAAGTTGTCCCTCCCTCCATTAACTTATTTTACTTGTTGTCTCCCACGTGGGACTAAGAATTGTTGAACAGTCTACACAATTTTTCTTTTGTTTTTTGAGTAGCTCAAAAAATTAAGTTGTAGACTGAAAGTAAAGAAAGCTCTTCCATCAATGGTTGAATGTAGGGGCTGAGATTGAGCTATTTCCTACAAGGGAGTGAATATCCTATTTCCTGAGGCTGCCTTTTAAATCTTTTCTTGTTCTTCTGGAGAGTTAAGTGAGAACTGTGTCCAGACGTGAAGAATTTTAGTGGGGAAGATTTGGTTATGGGCTCAAGATATGGTGATGCTAGAAGCTGGTGTGACTGACCACCAGAGTAAAGAGTAAAAGATATTGACTCTAAAGTGCACAGACTCTGGGTAACACTGAAAGTATGTAGTGCGTGCGTGTGTGTGTGTGTGTGTGTGTGTATGTGTGTGTGTTTGGAGGGGAGAGTTATGGGTCAAAATCAGCAGGAATTAATAGGGATTTGGGAAACTGACATTTCCTGACAAAATTAACCCCAAGAGACCTACCGGATTAGGTCAGCCAATGTGAGTGCTCCTTGGAAATATCAGGGGAGGAGCAACTTTCCAAATTTCATTGAATGATAACTCAGAATCAAAGCTAACAGATATCTGAGGCTGTGTCTATGACAGATTATATGACTGTGCACACAGAAGAGTAGGAATTAAACAAATTATAGATGCTTTGGGCTAGAGAAGAAAACTAATGAGATTGAGAATGATGGGCTCTCACAATCTGCGGCACTAAGTCCTTGGCAGGTAGAGTGTATTTGGCAGAAATATTTGGGGTGTGATAAGTTTGGTTTGCTTATTTTTTCTCCATTTATTTCATCTTTTACCTTCCACTGACTATAATTCATTCAGATCGTTGGCTCCGGGCTTACTGCCTAAGGGGAGAGAGGAAGAGGTAAATGCTTCAAAAGTGTAATGCCTTAGGGAAATTCAGAGGATTTGAGGCAAAGACAAAATGTTATGAAAAATATTATGAGTTAGCTTTGCTGTAGGACCAACCACTCCAAAACGGAGTGACTGACACAACGTTATTTACTGTTGCCCAAGTTCCGCTGATTTGAGACAGCCTTAGCTGACTGTGGCAGCGCTAGCTTGTGGGTCTTCATTACAGTGCGTGGCCTCCCTCCTATGTCTAGGGATTGTCTGGGAGTTGGCCGGGGCCAGGAAAAAATGTCCTTTGCCTACATCATCCAGCAGGCTAACCTTGGCTTCTTCACATGGTGAAGGACATGGGCAGATGTGCAACCTTCCTCAGGCCTGCATCGAGAATGGGCAGATGTGCAACCTTCCTCAGTCCTGCATCGAGAATGGGCAGATGTGCAACCTTCCTCAGGCCTGCATCGAGAATGGGCAGATGTGCAACCTTCCTCAGGCCTGCATCGAGAATGGGCAGATGTGCAACCTTCCTCAGGCCTGCATCGAGAATGGGCAGATGTGCAACCTTCCTCAGGCCTGCATCCCAACAGGCACTGCCTTAGTTCTGCCATATTCTATTGACAAAAGAAAGTCGCAAGGACAGCCTAGTGGAGAAAAACCTTTTGCTTTGATGGGAGGAGCTATGAAGACACGTTGCAATGGGAAGGAAGGGGTGAGGAATTGCAGCTATCTTTGCAATTTGTCACACATATCACAAAGGAATGGAGAATAAGAAAACTGAGAGCAGGATGGCAGCCTCCTCTGTAGCTGCTCACGTGAAAAAATATTGGCCTTATGGTTCCCATTCTGGGAAAATGAAGAACCCAGACAGTTAGTAATGATGGTAGTGCTTAGAACAATGCTTTCAGGGTACAGTCCCCAGTAGGAAATCTGCAAAACCCTACAATGATTTGTGGGGCTAGAGACAGAAAGGTGCCCTGAGGAGGCAGAAGTTCCCAGAGACAGAATGGCTGTAATGTAAGGCCAGACAGGCAGCCCATAGATAGGTAATAGAAATTCCTAGATACCAGCCAGCCACAGCAAGCAATGGAATGAGTTCTGTGCCTTAAGGCATGGCAGGGAACTAGCAGAGAGGAGAGCCCTAGTCATGGAGCATGAATGAAGCCCTGTTGATAAGAATGGGAGTAAGAATCTAGGCCGGGCACAGTGGCTGAC